GTGTACACAGCAAGATAAATGTAAATACAGTATTTTTGTTGTAATTCATTTTCAGTAAGTTACTGGCAAACTGAGCAGTAATATAAACAAAATTTTTACTGTTGGACAGTTATGCAGTATATTATTGTATTTTTATGCTTTATTTTGAAAATTTCTGTTTATTTTACAGTAAAGATATACAACACTTTTAACATATACACAGCAAGGTAACTGGTGCTGTAAATGTAAATACAGTATTTTGTTGTAATTGATTTACAGTAAGTTACTAGCATCTGAACTGTAATATGAACTGAATCTTACAATAGGACAGTCATGCGGTATGCTACTGTAATTTAAAGTTTCATTGTGGAAATGACAGAACAATTTACAGTAAGAATATATACAATACTGTAAGTATATACATTTACATTTACATTTAGTCATTTAGCAGACGCTTTTATCCAAAGCGACTTACAAATGAGGACAAGGAAGCAATTTACACAACCAAGAGCAACAATGAATAAGTACTAAAGGCAAGTTTCAGGTCTGTAAAGTCTAAGAAGGGAAGTGTTAGTAGTTTTTTTTTTTTTTTTTTTTTTTTTTTTTTTTTTGGTACAATTAGTGTGATATTCAAAGAGGCAATTGCAGCTTAGGAAGTGAAGTGGAGACTAAATAGTTGAGTTTTTAGTCGTTTCTTGAAAATAGCGAGTGACTCTGCTGTTCTGATGCAGTTAGGGAGTTCATTCCACCAACTGGGCAGATTGAGCGTGAGCGTTCGCGAAAGTGATTTTTTCCCTCTTTGGGATGGAACCACGAGGCGACGTTCATTCACAGAACGCAAGTTTCTGGAGGGCACATAGATCTGCAGAAGTGAGTGCAGATAAGAAGGTGCTAGGCCAGAAGTCACTTTGTAGGCAAACATCAGAGTTTTGAATTTGATGCGAGCAGCAACTGGCAGCCAGTGCAAACGGACTAGCAGTGGAGTGACATGTGCTCGTTTAGGTTCATTGAAGACAACTCGTGCTGCTGCATTCTGGAGCAGTTGAAGAGGCTTGATAGAGTTAGCTGGAAGCCCAGCTAGTAGAGAGTTGCAGTAATCCAGTTTGGAGAGAACAAGAGCTTGAACAAGGAGTTGAGCTGCATGTTCAGATAAGAAGGGTCGGATCTTTCTGATGTTATAGAGTGCAAATCTGCACGATCGAGCAGTTCTAGAAATGTGGTCAGAGAAGTTTAGTTGGTCATCAATCGTTACTCCAAGGCTTTTCACCATTTTGGATGCAGTAATGGTTGCCCCATCCATCTGGATTGAAAAGTTATGGTGTAGAGTCGGGTTGGCAGAAACTACAAGCATTTCCGTTTTTGCGAGGTTCAGCTGAAGATGATGATCTTTCATCCAGTGTGAAATATCCAACAGGCAGGCTGAGATACGAGCTGGAACCGAGGGATCATCAGGATGAAAAGAGAGGTATAGCTGGGTGTCATCAGCATAGCAGTGGTAGGAGAATCCATGTCTCTGGATGACTGGTCCTAGAGATGATGTGTAGATGGAGAAGAGAAGTGGCCCAAGAACAGAGCCTTGAGGTACCCCAGTGTTTAGATGCTGTAGGTTGGACACCTCTCCCCTCCAAGACACCCTGAATGACCTGTCAGAGAGGTAAGATCTAAACCATTGTATAACAGTGCCCGCAACGCCCAGTGACTCAAGCGTAGATAGCAGGATCTGGTGGTTGACAGTGTCAAAAGCAGCTGACAAGTCCAGCAAAATGAGGACTGATGATTTAGAGTCTGCTTTAGCCAGTCTGAGATCCTCCACGACCGAGAGCAGGGCAGTCTCAGTTGAGTGGCCTTTCTTAAAGCCGGATTGCTTGTTGTCCATGAGATTGTTTTGAGTAAGAAAGTCCAGGACTTGATTGAACACTACTTTCTCCAGAATCTTGGCCATGAATGGAAGCAGGGATACTGGTCTGTAGTTTTCAAGTAGCGTATGGTCCAGGTTGGGTTTCTTTAGCAGTGGGGTTACCCTAGCCTGCTTAAATGTAGTGGGGAATAAACCAGAGTCAAGAGATGTGTTAATTATGTGAGTCAGTGTTGGTATGACTGCAGGAGAGATGGCTTGCAAGAGATGAGAGGGAATGGGATCGAGTGGACAGGTGGTTGCATGGCTAGATAGCACAAGTTTGGACACCTCAGACTCAGAGAGCTGAGAAAAAGAGGTGAGTGTGTGTGGTGTTGGTGTTGTATCTTGCGTGTTTGTTGTAGGTGCAGCAAATTGAGCACTGATTTTTGCAGTTTTGGTGCAGAAGAATGTAGCAAAGTCATCAGTAGTAAGTGTGGAGGATGCGGGTGGAGGAGGAGGATAGAGGAGGGAGGAAAATGTTTTAAAAAGTAGGCGAGGATTAGTGGCATTGTTGATTTTCAGACGGTAATACGTCTGCTTTGCAGAAGTAACCTCAGCTGAGAAAGAGGACAGAAGAGTTTGGTATGTTAAGAGGTGTGCAGGATTTTTAGTTTTCCGCCAAATTCTCTCTGCAGCCCGAAGTTTTGAGCGATGCTCACGGAGAGCATCCGAGAGCCAGGGTGCAGGAGGACTGGCACGGGCTGGCCTGGATGCAAGAGGACATAATCGGTCTAGACATGATGCTAGTGTGGAGCAGAGTGTATTAGTGGCACTGTTCGAATCAAGTGCAGTGAGTTTGCGAGATGGAGGAAGAGAGTCTGAAACAATGGTGGATAGTCTATTGGGTGAGAGAGATCGTAGGTTTCTGCGAAAGGTAACCAGTGTTGGAGTGTGTGGCGGCTCAGGAGTAATGTGGATGTTGAGAGACAGAAGGAAATGATCAGATATTTGTAGTGGAGTTACTATTGTTTGATCAGTGAAGCAGTGTCGTGTGTAAATAAGGTCTAGCTGATTACCCGATTTGTGGGTAGCAGAAGTAGGTGCTCTTTTTAGGTCAAAAGAGGCAAGCAGAGTCTGAAAGTCTGCAGCTTGCGGTTTGTCAACGTAAATGTTGAAGTCACCTAGCACCAATAAGGGAGTGGCAAAATTAGAAAAAGATGAGAGAAGAACATCCAGTTCATCTAGGAAGTGACCTAATTTACCTGGTGGGCGGTAGATGACAACCACATTTATGTAGAAGGGGTGGATAATGGTGACTGCATGGAATTCAAAGGAGCTGATTGTTGGCAGGGACGGTATCAGAGTAAATTTCCATTCTTTGGAAATTAGTAGTCCAGTCCCACCCCCTCTCCCTGTCTGACGAGGAGTGTGGGAAAAAGAGAAATTAGCAGAAAGAGTAGCATGTGTAGCAGTGTCTTCCGGCCTCAACCAGGTCTCAGTTAGAGCCATGAGATTATAGTCAGAATATGTAGCTATGGAGGTAATAAAATCAGCCTTGTTAACAGCTGATTGACAATTCCAGAGGCCCACGGAGAGAGAGAGTTGTGAAATAGTAGATACATGTATTGAACGAAGGTTGTGAGGATTACGCCTGCAGCGTACCTCCCGTGTTTTGCGAGTGTTAGTAACAACAGGAATTAGAAAACACATAATAAAAGTGCACTGACAACAAAAAAAAAAAGTGTAAAGTAAAACAATAAAGTAAAGTACTCAAGTGCTTTGTCGGTGTCTTTGCTCGGTGGAGTCGCGCAGGTAGAGTCGATGGTCTTTACCCTCGTCGGTCTTCACACGAGGCTGCCGCGACCGCTGCCGCGGTGAACTAGTTGTTTATATAACCCCTAAAGCACTAGCTGATTGAATTCAGCTGGACACGCCTCGAGAGTCAAAACAAGGGCCGAAACTGAGGCGGACGACGCGAACCGCGTCTGCGTTCGCTACACAAGCTCTTATAGTAACCAAGGAAACAGTGGCTAAACAACTTCTAGTATTATACACAACTGAAAGCAAGTTTAAATGTCCTACAACTTTACACAAACAGCTGGAAACAAGTCCTCAAACCATACACAACAACTGAAACAAATCTTAAATGTACTTACAGGCTGCTGTTCTAGATGCTGCTAAAGTGCTTCTCCTTATACTGCACACAATGAAATAAATGGTGCTGTAATTGTAAATATTGTATTTTTGCTGAAATGGATTTACAGTAAGTTACTGGCAAACTGAACTGTAATATGAACTATATGAATATGACTGTAGGACAGTAATGCAGTATATTACTGTAATTTAATTTATTATGAAAATGACTGTATATTTTACAGTAAAGATATACAACCATGTAAATACATACACAGCAGTGTAAATTGTGCTGTATATGTAAAGTGGTTGTGCTGTAATTGATATACAGTAAGTTACTGGCAAACTGAGCTCTAATATGAACTAAATCTTACTTTAGGACAGTTATGCAGTATATTACTGTATTTAAAAGTTGTAAAAATGACTGTATATTTTACAGTAAATACATACAATACTGTAAATTCATATACAGCAAGATAAATGTAAATACAGTATTTTTGCTGTAATCGATTTACAGTAAGTTTCTGGTAAACTGAGCTGTAATATGAACTGAATATTACTGTAGGACAGATGTTACTGTAATTTAATGTTGCATTGTGAAAATGGCTGTATATTTTACAGTAAAGATATACAAGAAAGTAAATACACTGCAAGGTAACTGGTGCTGTAAATGTACAGTATTCATGCTGTAATTGATTTACAGTAAGTTACTGGTAAACTGCTGCCAGTAAGTTACTATAGATTCTACAGTAAATTGTAAACAGCGTTCCTGTTACTGGCGGGCATTTTCTCCAAACACCTTTTAAGAGCCCAATGCTTATTGAGTCAGACTGTAAGGCAAATAAGAAATGAGAGTGTTTTAATATCTGTGGTTCTGTTTGGGGAAATGTGTGGAAAGTAAAGCAGAGAGAAATAATGAAAGCAAACGTCTCTGGGACTCTTCCTTCATCATCTCTTCATCTTTTACTCTCAGGTCGTTTCTTTCTCTGTCCTCTTTGAACACACTTATATTAACTTGCTCTCTCTCGTTCCACACTACAGCAGCCTCTGTTCCTGTAAGCTTTATCAATGGCTGGTTTTGGGTTTCTGAACATAATCTCTCAATGGGATGCATTGTGGAGACTGCCTGTGGATTCAGGATAAATGTGAGTCTGCAGGATTTGCCAGAGTTTTATGTGTCACATCATTCAGCGGGCTTGTTTTAGCTGTAGTGCACAGAATAAAAACCTCAAAGCCTTTACCGTTGAAACATCCTTCGCTCAGAGTTTTTCGTTCACAGCTCAGGAGACTGTAAGTTCTCAGCTGGGTTTCATGTAAGTACCTACCAAGTCTCAGATGTTTCTCATGTATGTATTAAATGATTTGCGATTGTATGTGTGGTATTGTAGAAAGCAATTTATTCTATTGATTTTGACAGTTTATAAAGTGGTACACTGAAAATAATGGATCATTGGATTTACTACATTTTTTAAGTGGTTGCAAACAATTTATTTGGGCTGAATTTAAACAAACACATTATGTTGAACATTATGGAATTTAAATTCAGCCCAAATAAACAGTTTGCAATGACTTAACATTAATAAATTTAATAATTCCAATTAATCATTTATTTTCAGTGTATTTTGACGTTTGAAGACTAAAATCAATCTTATTTTACTAAATTTTGTTATTCATGTTTTTTTTTTCTTCATTTATTAATGCTTTTAAATTGCATTACTGGACCTTGATCTTTGCTTCAACAACTTTTGATGTTGAAGTTACTTTTATTGACATTTTCAATAGTTTGAAGTGATTTAAAGTCTGGGTTGATGTTGAAATTTATGTCAGCACTTTTTTCTGTCATTTCACCAACTTATTTCTTATCTAACACATTTCTGCAGAATTGTTGCAAACCGTTGATATAGGCTGAATACAAACAAACAAATAAAATTTAGTAATGTTCAACTTCATTTGTTTGTTTAAATTCAGCCCATATCAATTGTAATTCTGTATTTCATAGGATGAAGACTACAACTCCCATGATTCCACACTAATGCAGAGTTCAGACTGCATGATTTTCAAAGTAGTTGTGTCACAGATGTTTTCACTCTGCATGACTATCTGGGCTACCGTTTCGTCGCTGCGTTGTTTACACTGCAAGATGGATCGCCGACAGGGATTTCACATTACATAACTTTACTATAGGAAGAATCGCCGTCAAGTTCGTCCAAACTACGTCTCACAGCCAAAAACACGTATATCTTTTGTTATTAACTATATAATGAGAAAGAAGCCTTTAATGGGTTAGAAAATGTACATATTTGATCACCTGGGTTTGAAAGGAATTAGCAATTTCTCCTCAACTTTCTTTTTTAACTTTCAGTGTGAAACATCAGAACAAACACGGGTGCTTCTGTCAAACCTCTGCTAGTTTTTGCTCCATTTCTTGGGTCCAAATAAACCGAAAATGAGGGCTTTTAACTTCTCCCTTAACCTCCTGCTGGCCTGCAGGTACACACACACAAATGAATGCTGCTCTCCCATTGGCTGTTGGTGATCGCCAATGTTATTTTTTAGTCAAAACTCATTTCACACGGCATGATTTGAATCACTGACAGCTCCAGATATTTAGCACGCCAAATATCTCACAGGCATCGGCGACTCATCAGCGATTCTCTCAGATCGCGTCCTTGATAGTTCATACTGTGTGATTGTCATTCACGTGCACGACCACCGATTTGCCTGTGATTTCAGGCATTTGTCGACGATTTCTCAAAACCTGTCGGCGAGTCAAAATCAGGGCCAAAATCATGAAGTCTGAACTCTGCATTAGTTACACCATCATCAAACTATGGCTTAGTTTGTAGTGAATTTGCGTCCTCTAGTGGAAAAACTACAAACTGTACCTTTAAAAAATGACAGGTTATTTCAGGCTACTACTGTTGCTTAATATTTCTTTACAGTAGCTAATGTTTACACTTTTGCTAAAGTAAGATTGGAAATTGTGTTATTTAATATCAAATAAAATAATAGGTCACACCTCCAAGTTGGAGGAAAGTCCTTACCCCAGGTGGAGGAGTAGTATTAGTATTAGTAGTATTACTACTATTCTATTAGTAGTAGAAATATTTTGGAGTTTTGTATGGAAGTAAGTCAAAAGGCAAAGATTTCGATTTACTGGTCAATCTATGTTCCTACTCTCACCTATGGTCATGACCGAAAATACAAGATCTCAAGACTAGCAGCCAAAATGAGTTTCCTTCACAGGGCGCACCCCTATAGATAAAGTGAGGAGCTCTGTCACCCAGGAGGAGCTCGGAGTTGAGCTACGGCTCTTCCACATCGAGAGAAGTCAGCTGAGGTGGATCTGGCATCTGTTTCGAATCGCTCCTGGGCGCCTCCTGGAGGTGTTCCAGGCATGTCCCACTAGGAGGAAGACCCAGGACGTGCTGGAGGGACCATAGCCTCTTTCACACATACAGACCTTTCCGGAAAATTACTGGCAATTTTCCGGAAAGGTCTCTATCTGTGAACAGGCCCTTTTTGAAAATACCGGTAAATTTTTTCCGGCTATTTTCCGGAAAGAGAAGTTGTAACATTACCGGTAATTTGCCAGAATGGTCTGCTGTGTGAACGCAGAAGGAAGATTGCTGGAAAGAGCGTGTGCACATCTAGGACGTGCTGACGTGAGACGTCTACTTTAGCCAATCAGAACAGTCCACACGCATTCACGGCCACGCGGTTTATGAAAATAAAAGTCTTTGAACATTTTTCCAGACACATTTAGCTGCTAGATGTTGATCAGACAAAGTTTATATGTTTCTTCTTAATGTCAACTGTGTAAATAATTATCGATACGATGCTTATGATAAGCCGTTGTTTGTTTACCTTCAAGCTTTGCTTCCTACAGTTGCGTAATGTGTCGAGTGTGTCCGTGAAGCAGCCCGTGAGCGCCAACACACACACATATCATGTATATCTCAACATGCGAAAGTGTTCCTCTATATGTTTTCATCAAAGTTGTTCACAATACTGATCCATCCACAGAGTTTGTAATGCAGTCAAATGTTTACAAATAGAAGCGCAGCCATTTAGAAGTTATTTCTTGTTAATATTGTCAGAATTTACTGCTATTCTGCAATGAATGTGGGAACGGTCTTTTCCGGACAAATTCCGTAATGTTCGTGCCTGTGTGAACAGCGCTTTTTTGAATTCACCGGTAAAGTCGTTCCGAAAATTTTCCAGATATTTACCAGTATCACTGTGTGAAAGGGGCTTATGTCTCTTGGCTTGCCAGGGAATGCCTCGGGATATCCTGGAGGAGCTGGAGTAACGCCCCATTCACACGGGGCTTCAGAGTCAACGCTTGACTGAAGGCGTGTCTGAAGTTGGGGCTGATGCGATCGTCATAAAGCGTCAGCCAATGAAATTCAGTCAGCAATAGGCCACTGTCTGAGCTGGTGTATTTGCATACAGCGATCTGATTGGCTGACGCTTCCGTTGGCGCATGAAAAGTTGAGCTAGTCCCAACTTCTGCAGCAAGCAACGCTTCTGAAGCGGTGCTGACGGATCCACAATGCAGTTCGGCAACGCCTGACGTCACCCATTCAAAGTGAATGGGAAGCGTTGACGCTGACGCCCCGTGTGAATAGAGTGTAAGTGTCTCGGGAGATGGAAGTCTGGGGTTCTCTCCTGAGATTGCTGCCCCCGCGACCCGGCCCCGGAAAAGCAATAGAAATTGAATGAATGAATAATTGATTAAAACGATCATGAACAACACAAGCCAAGGTTTTAAACCGCATATTGTTACATTAACGCCAAACCTGGGGAAAAAAACAACATGTACTATTCATTTTGTCCCAGTAATTGTGTAAAAAAACATTTCCGAAGGCTTAGCAACACCTCTCCTTTTCATATTTCACAGTCGATGGCAACAAATTTACCTTAATTTTTCAGAAGTTTCCAGGCATATTTTTCATGCTGTCTCTGGAAAGCAGCAATAATTCATGTGGATTTGCAGATTCATAACTCACGAGTTATATAAGACCGCTCACACACACTGAAAAAGAGGGAGATGCTTGTATTATTCATAAAAAACACTAAGCTTAAGGTTTGGTCCTTTCACTGAGCAGATTTAGGAAGTATGAACAAAGGAAGAGTGTCACATGTCATCTTTCTCACACACACTCACACATACACACACACAAATCCGCTTTTATCAAGCCTTCACACACCACACCACCTCTAGAGAGATCCTCTGAACACAGAACAGTCAGAGAGCTGCCATTGTCTCTGGTATTATTTCCATTCGTACTGTTCTGCATTTTCACTAATGGATAATGGCACAGGCCGGAGTGAACGGTGTGTGTGTGTGTCTTTGATCCTGCGTCGAGCTTGAATTTCATACACATGCATTTGAAGTCCAGCAAACATTGTGATACTTGCAGCGTAGTCAGCAGTTGCCATGGCTACAGAAACTCACTCTATACCCTTAAAGTACACATGAAATCAAAACTAACCATATTGAATTCGTTTGCTCGCATTGCTAGTTTTGTGCTGAACAATTCATCTGTGCATGTCATTAGGAAAAATACAATTTTTTGGCCTTGTAATCTTTAATTGAAATCTGAAAATGCACTTCCTGTTTGTTTTGAGTTAAATTCTCAGATTATGTCTGTCTGAGGTATTGGGTGTGGCTAATATACTTAACCACGCCCCTGCAACTGTCAGATTTTTGTGCAGGATCAGGTGTAAATGTAGCTTAACTACTTATGGGGCCTTTCACATATCACATCTTTTACATGCGCAAGTACGTTGTTTCCAATGGAGGTGCGCAGCTTTTGTGTGCACGCATATTGGGCACGCTCGCATTTGCCAAGAGCACCTAGTTGAAGTAAGTAAGTCACATGATAAGAACTGACTGATCAGCTTAATACTTTGTATGAAATATAGACATTTTGGTATAGACTAATTACCTCAGACAAACACAGAACACCCAAATACTGCAGTGCTTTTGGATCCCTGCTGAACAATCCAGCTTAAACCAGCCTAAGCTGGTTGGCTGGTTTTAGCTGGTCGACCAGGCTGGTTTTAGAGGGGTTTTGGCCACTTCCAGGCTGGTTTCCAGCCATTTCCAGCCTGGTCTTAGCTGGTCAGGCTGGGAGATGACCAGCTAAAATCAGCTTGACCAGCCTAGCCAGGCTGAGAGCCCAGCCAAAACCAGCTACTCCCAGCTTGGCTAGGCTGGTCAAGCTGGTTTTAGCTGGTCATCTCCCAGCCTGACCAGCTAAGACCAGGCTGGAAATGGCTGGAAACCAGCCTGGAAGTGGCCAAAACCCCTCTAAAACCAGCCTGGTCGACCAGCTAAAACCAGCCAACCAGCTTAGGCTGGTTTAAGCTGGATTTTTCAGCAGGGATACTATGGATATCAGTGGTTATCCAGTTTTCTATCCAGTTTACTTTAAAATGTCAAAGTCATGATGAGAGAATTTTAAGTTTTGGGTGAACTCTTTACGGTTGCTTTCACACTTGGTTCAATTGTCTGGAATGTACCCTAGTTCGATTGTCCCCCCTTGTCACCATCATTTCAAGAATGGGTTACAGAACTGGGGAAGGTGGCAGCATATGAAAAAATTACATACAGGATACTAGATAAATTGGATGTTTATTAGAGAAGATGGGGAAATTACTTGGCATTTTTGGAGAAGGAATAAGGTCATTGTGGTGAAACGCACACCAAAAATGTAATTACTTATTTGTTTATTTTAGTTTATTTATTTATTTTTATTTATTTATTTATTTTTTATTATTTATTTATGTTTTATTGTATTGTTACGGTTCCTATGGAGTTAAGTAATAAGTATTTGTGTTTACTGGTTCTATGATAGCAATACTCAACGACAGCACTGCCGCTGTAGGGTAGGGGAGGGATAAGGGGATGGTAAAAGGAGGTAAAATGTGTAAACTGATTGCATTGTGAGATTATTGAAGAAAAAGAAAATAAAAATTGAATCATAAAAAAAAACCATGACAAAATTAATTTTAAACTTTTTGGTACTTCAATATGATTAATATGTATAATATGTATAATGCATGCATAATAATTGGTTTGATATAACAATATATGTTATTTCTTTTACATTTCTAGGCATTATAAGAAAGATTTCAGCCTGAAGTCCTGCTCATCTCCATCTTTTCAGTGACCATGTTAAACATCCCCTCTGACTACAAATCGCTCAAACAGGAACAGCTATAGAAATGCGCTGGACATCAATATCAGCCACAGCGAAGGCAGTTCTGACTCTCTGAAAATGCAAATGTGATGCCATAACATCTGCTCTGATACATTGATTGCTTTGTTTTCATTTGAAATGGCTGACAATCAGATCAGGTGAGTTTTATTTAGAGCCCAGTGGTTTTAATAACTATAATATTGACATTATATAAAGCAGGCGTGACCAACCCTGTTCCTGGCGCTCGACCTTCCTGCAGATTTCAGTTGCAACCCATATCAAACACACCTGCCTGTAATTATCAAGTGCTGTTCAGGTCCTAATTAATTGGTTCAGGTGTGTTTGATCAGGGTTTGAGCTGAACTTTGCTGGAAGGTCGATCTCCAGGGCCCGGTTTTTCAAAAGGTTTAATCCGGATAAAATTGATCCAGATTTAGTAATCCTGTTTTTGCGATCCGTGATCAAGTAATCCAGCTTACTTTTTGAGCCAGTTTTTCAAAGCAACATCGGATTGGATCACTCTGATCCGGATAGGAACTTTTCAGGGTCACTAAATCTGGATAACCAGTGCTCAAACAGCATAGGACATCACAATGTAGAACTGTAGATATGTAAAGAGCGACAAGTAGAATAGCCAGCGTGGGGCCAATATAACTTTATTTTTATTTGAAATGAAAACAATTTTTTTAAAATAATTATCAATAATATATAATAATAAATAATAAAAACAAGAAAAACCCCACCCCATCCTCTTTCAGCAGTATTGAGGATATTTATAATAAGTTTCAAATATAGATGTAAATAAAAAAAAGACTTAATGTCAGAAACTCCACAATAATTTCAGACTTCTTCATCTGATGTGGAGAGAGCAGCTTGTCTGAGTGTAGCCTTTAGGAGGCGAATCTCAAGTCATTGGCCTTGGTTGTCTGCAGTTTGGTCAGAGTCAGTTGTTTCTCTGCCAGACGAAGCTGTGCTTCTAGCCTTTTAGTCTCTTTTTGCAATTGTTGAAAGTGATTTCAAAAATTCTGTGCAATTTTTTTTGTTATTCTGTAATCCTTGCATGCATCACTAATAAATATTCTAAAAAGAAAAATATTTTCCATTGTGATGAATATATATATCAATTAGTGACAGAATAAAATAGATTTTTTTTGGTCAGTTTTGACAGCTGTTTGGGGGATTATTTTATGAGGCCAAACTCTTTCTACTTTGCTCTAGGCCTATGCTGAAAGGCTAAATACATTAAAGCCTATACTCACTATAGCCTGACAGATGAACAAATAAAATTAAAACCTTATGAATAAATAGTATATCTTGTAAGATACTGCATGATCTAAAAATAGTATTATTTAATACATTTTTTAAGTTTTCATTTCATTTTGGACATGAAATCCACGCTAAATCCACCCTTCTGATGGGATCAGTTTAATCCAGGTTTTTTGGATCAAAGTGATCCAGATTCTACAAAAAAGGTCTGAAAAACCCAAACTAAAGGTTTGATCCGGATCAAAACCAAGATTGGACTACCTGATTCTGAAAAAGTTCTGAAAAACCCATTTTCAAGATTTGATCCAATCCCTTATCCAAAATCCTAGTAGATTACTTTTGAAAAACCGGGCCCAGGAGCAGGGTTGAGCACCACTGATATAGAGTGTGTGCAGCCATTGGAACCTTATTGGCTCCAGTCTCATTCACTTCCATTAATTTTTCAGACATTAAAAATAGCTCGTTATGCTGCTTAAATGTCCCATGAAGTGCTTTGAAATGTGCATTATTCGATGTTTGATGTAATCTCAACTGAAAAATAAGACATTGTGGGACAGTGTAGCTCCTCCCCTCAAAAAAGCATTTGGTTTTATCACAGCTCTGCCAGTAGTGGTTGAACTCATGTGCATCAAATGAAAAACAAACGACAAGCATCTTGAAGGGGGCGCGCTAAAGCTTAAAAATTTACATTGTATTATATTATCTGCATTCATATTTCAGTCTGCCAGCTAAACTCATCAATGGAGGCATTGCTGGACTGATTGGCGTCACTTGTGTTTTTCCAATTGATCTGGCAAAAACACGCCTTCAAAACCAGCAAAATGGATCACGTGTATACACTAACATGTAGGTATTATTCTCCTTTAATTTTCTGAGCAAATATATACTTCTATATGTCCTCTATGTATAGGCCTGTGCATTATATACAGCTGAAGTCTGAGTTATTAGCCCCCCATATATGTTTCCCCCCCAATTTCTGTTTAATGGAGAGAGATTTTTCAACACATTTCTAAACATAATAGTTTTAATAACTCATCTCTAATAACTGATTTCTTTTATCTTTGCCATGATGACAGTAAATAATATTTGACTAGATATTTTTCAAGATACTAACATTCAGCTTAAAGTGACATTTAAAAGCTTAAGTAGGTTTATTAGGCAAGTTAGGGGAATTAGGCAAGTCATTGTATAATGATGTTTGTTCTGTAGACTATCGAAAAAATATGGCTTAAAAGGCCTAATAAATTTGACCTTAAAATGTTTTACAAAAATTAAAAACTGCTTTAATTCTAGCCGAAATAAAACAAATAAGACTTTCTCCACAAGAAAAAATATTATAGGAAATACTGTGAAAATTTCCTTGCTCTCTTAAACATCATTTGGGAAAAATTTGGAAAATAAAACAAAATTCAGAGGGGATAAATAATTTGACTTCAGCTGTATGTGTCTGGATGTGTTTCATTCACAGGTCTGACTGTCTGATGAAAACCGTGCGGTCTGAAGGATTCACTGGGATGTACAGAGGTGATTGTGTATTTGTGTTTAGCTCATCCAGAAGTGTTGATGCTCGGAGAAACTCCATTATTTCTGCTTTTTTCCTCCTGATATCCCTCCTTTCATGTGTAGGGGCTGCTGTTAATCTGGCTCTTGTGACTCCAGAAAAGGCCATCAAACTGGTCGCCAATGATTTCTTCAGACAGCAGCTCTCCAAAGACGGGTGAGAAGAAAATAAGATTTTATTTTACACCTTGCAGTGCAATTCATTTCTCATATTTCTTACTTAGAAGGTTAAAATTTAGGATTAAGAGTTAAATTCTGAGTTAGTAAGGGACATGCAGTTGCATTACATTTAAAGCTATTCTCAGTTTAATTCTGAATTATGCACAATCCCTAAAAAAAAAAAAAAAAAAAAAAGAAATAGACTTGTGTAGAAAAGTATAACTGAATTTTATTTCTTGAAAAAATGATACCCACAAAACAGTGATTATTGCACTTATGCATTTAGGTTTAAATAAATAATATTGTTGACTTGGAAATGCAGCTATAATAAAATAAATTTTCAGCTTAATTATTATATACGATATATAAAATATGAACATATTTATTTACAAAGTTAAAAGCTGAAGTTTTATTTATTTTTTTCAATATAATATTATTAATAAAAAATCTAAATGAAGAAAAGGATAAAAAGATAAAAATAAGAAAGAAGACTTGTAACCTTAAAGCCAACTGAAATTGTAATTATTGATAATGTTAATTAATAAATATAACAAAATAATGTTTTTCTCATTTTTAGAGTTTCCTTTTTGTTTATTTTTGGTTTAAATTATAATTAAAAAAAAAAAAAGATACACACTACTTGACAAAAGTCTACCTCAGCTTGAGGTATCAAGACATTTGTGCTGCATTACACATCGAAAATTCTTCAGCAGGATAGCACTCCTTCTCATACTTCAGCCTCCACATCAAAGTTCCTGAAAGCAAAGAAGGTCAAGGGGATCCAGGATTGGCCAGCCCAGTCACCAGACATGAACATTATTGAGCATGTCTGGGGTAAGATTGAAGAGGAGGCATTGAAGATGAATCCAAAGACTCTTGATGAACTCTGGGAGTCCTGCAAGAACACTTTCTATTCCAGATGACTTTATTAAGAAGTTATTTAAGTCATTGCAGAGATGTATGGATGCAGTCCTCCAAGCTCATGGGAGTCACACACAATATGAACTCTTTCTCCACTGCAGCATGACTTTTTATTCTATACTGGACATTATTTCTGTCAAGTGATAAGACTTTTGTCTAAGCAAAGTCAGACCTTACTGTCCTAATTAAATATTTAAAAATCAAGGCATGATCATATTTTATTTTGCTAAAATAAGCATAATCTAGAGGCCTTTGTCTTTCATATAAGCCACTTCTGATACCAAATGATCAACTAGAAGTCAAGTTAGTATTTGTTGCTCTAAAACTTGGATATGCGACAAGACTTTTGTCAGGTAGTGTATACTAATAAGATAAAATCACATATATAGTTATAGTTAAAATATTTCTTTGGCATCTTGCTGATTAAATAAATTGAAATAATTTAATTTATTTCAATATTTTATTTTAAGGAACCATTTTTTTTTTTGGTTGTTTTAATGAACTGTCTGCAAGAACATGTATGAAATTACCACTTGTGTCCTTCCAAAGTTCCACCTCTCAGAATAAACCTTCATTACACAGTTTTAGTGCTTTGTATTCATTAAAATGTCTTCATTTTCTCATCTGTGTGACTCATTTACTCATGAGCGTGCTCTGCAATGAGACGTAATGGAGGTCTCATAACTTATTGAACAGTTGCACTGATTTAGAAATCTCCTTTTAATTTATTCTTTTAGCTGAGGGCGATGAAGTCTCATCTTCACTTCTGCTTTTTTAAGAGAATGAATCCAGTGCGCCGCTGGATTTGCACGCAGACTTTTAAAAAACAGAGTAGATCTCGATAAAAGCTTGTGCATTATGGATTGATACCGCAGTATAACTCAGTACACCTTGAATATACCTGCAGCTCTGGTGAGCATCTCGGTGCTGGAGACTAATAGCTCGATTTCTAAATTATTGATTAATATGGCCTAGCAGACTGCAATGTGTGGATGAATTATTGAAATAAGTGTGTGTTTGGGTGTGTGTGCTGTCATTGCATATGAGGAGGCAAGAGCTTTAAAAAAAAAAAAAAAACTGGACATTAACTATATAAAATGCATCAAAATAAAATATAAACTATAATAAATAGGCGTGGTGGTGGCGCGGTAGTGCTGTCGCCTCACAGCAAGAAGGTCGCTAGTTCGAGCCTCTGCTGGGTCAGTTGCCGTTTCTGTTGGAGTTTGCATGTTCTCCTCGTGTTCGCGTGGGTTTCCTCAGGGAGCTCTAGTTTCCTCTACATTTCAAAGACATTTGGTACAGGTGAATTGGGTAGGCTAAATTGGCCGTAATGTATGAGTGTCAGAGTGTGAATGAGAGTGTTTGGATGTTTCCCAGAGATGGGTTGCGGCTGGAAGGGTATCCACTGCGTAAAACATGCTGTATAAATTGGCGGTTCATTCCGCTGTGGCGACCACAGATTAATAAAGGGACTAAGCCAAAAAGAAAATGAATAATTGAATGATTAATAATAAATAATAAAAATAAAAATTCGCCCACCATAAAATATATTGTGCCCTGTTTTTATTTCAATTGATTATCTAGTGTGATTCATAAAAATTTGTAAATAAAAGTGAAGCATTTCTCTTAAAATAAGATCTGCTCATCTAAAAAATAATGCTTTTTGTGTCTTTATTTCTGGCTCTCTTGCAGGGAGAAGTTGACGCTGGTTAGAGAAATGTTAGCAGGTTGTGGTGCTGGGACCTGTCAGGTTAGTCTCTCTGTTTTGCGCTCATGCGACCCACATTTCTCAAACTCACACAAAACAGCTGCTTGTTCCTCCAGTGTTGAGTTTCCTAAAGTACTTTGCTGGCTTAAGTACAACTGAAAGGGAACTGTGCAGCCAAAATGCAAATTCTGCCATTAACCGTGTCTTCCAAATCTTATCTCAAGCAACTCACTATGATTTGTTTCTGTTTTCCATGTTTTTTTTTTTTTTAAATTCCAATAATTCGAAGTTGACATCTTTATTATTATTATTATTATTATTTTTGTTATCATATTATCATCATCATTATACTTATTAACATCAGTATTATTGTTATTGTTATTATTGTTATTATCATTATTATTATTGTTATTATTATTATTATTTATATTATTATATGCAATATATATGTATTATTGTTATTATTATTATTATCATTATTGTTATTATTATTATTGTTATCATTATTATTGTTATTATTATTATTATCATTATTGTTGTTATTAATTTTATTACTATTATTTTTACTACTATTATTATTATTATTATTATTATTATTATTATTATTATTATTATTATTGCTATCATTCTTCTTCTTCTTCTTATATGCATTATATATGTATTATAATTATTATTATTATTAATAATAATAATAATATTATTATTATATGCATTATATATATGCATTATATATGTATTATTATTGTTATTATTATTACTATTATTATATGCATCATATATGTATTATTATTATTGTTATTATTATTATTATTATTATTATTATTGTTGTTGTCATTGTCATTATTATCATTATCATTATTATAATATGCATTAAATATGTATTATTATTATTATTGTTGTTGTTGTTATTATTGTTCTTATTATTATTTTAATTAAAGGTACAGTAAGTAAGTTTAAACACAAGAGGGTGCGTTTTCACAACAAATAAAGGCTTATTTTGATGAAACAGTGACTCTTGAAAGTGTGTGACTCTGGAATCATGGGAAATGTAGTCTTCATTACATCCAATAGGACTCCTGCAGAAATCATGTTAATGGTTGAGCTAAAGTATTATCATGGTAGTATGAAGCAGAGTAAAGCTGACAGCTGTGGAGACACCGAAGCAGTTACTGATGAGAAATGAGTGCCATGCAAAACGAAAACAGCAGAGCTTTTATTATGACACAATCCTCCACAATTTTTCATGATCACGTAGAGAAGAAGTGTGAAGTTTAATAAAACACACAACATATTCAGTGGTGAAAAGAGTACTGAAAAATCATGCTCAAGTTAAAGGACCATTACTTGCCCAAAAATCTAGTTCAGGTAGAGTTAAAGTATCTGTTGTAAATATTACTCAAAGAAAGTTTTACACTGTGAAAGGTTGATGATTTACATGCAATTTTTGTGCGTGTGTGTGTAAACGTAACATTATGTACTGCATTACATCGACCATCTTCTCATAGTGACAGTCTCTGGGTAATTGCATGAAAGATTTTCAACATCATCTTGGACATTTTTAATGCTTCCAGCAGGGTTTGCTGCCTTTATATGTTATAAATGTCTTGAGGTTGTTTATAAATTTCTTGAGGTTGTTCAGTAATGTGGTTTACATTCCATGTGCGATTTGATTGGATAGGAATCACAGAACTGAGTTTCCTACTTAGTCAATCACCTTACCCAATTAAAAATAAAGTAGTGACTGCATGTTGAAGGAAAATAGTGTAGTAAAAGTAAAGATACAAAAATTTTTCTCAAGGGTCAAAGTAAAAGCATTCATTCATTCATTTTCTTTTCGGCTTAGTCCCTTTATTAATCTGGGGTCACCACAGCGGAATGATCCACCAGTAAAAACACACATTTTTAAAACTACTCAGTAAAGTACAATTCCTGAGAAAGCCTATTCATTTACAGTAACTTGAGTATTTAGAATTTGTTACTTTACTCTTTGCTGTTTCCCTATTTTATACAAAACCAGAGCAGAAATCAAGGGTGTGTGATGACATTAGCATGAACACACAGCACACGTTCCGTCTCACTATTTAAAATTGCTAATTTCCCCAGATTTTATCACAGCCTACTTTAAAATATTTGGGATAATGTCAGTACATAAGTCAACAAAATATGTAACCTTCTTCTAGTGTTTCTTTAATATTTAAATATATATATATATATATATATATATATATATATATATATATATATATATATATATATATATATATATATATATATATATATTATATATATAATATATATATATTAAAAAAATATATATATATTAAAAAAAAAAATATATATATATATATATATATATATATATATATATATTTTTTTTTTTTTTTTTTTTTTTTTACATATTGTGATTTTAAATAGGCGACACGGTGGAGCAGTAGGTAGAGCTGTCGCCTCACAGCAAGAAGGTCGCTGGTTCGAGCCTCGGCTGGATCAGCTGGCATTTCTGTGTGGAGTTTGCATGTTCTCCCCGTGTTTCCTTCGGGTGCTCCCGTTTCCCCCACTGTCCAAAGACATGTTGTACAGGTGAATTGGGTAGGTTAAAATTGCCCATAGTGTGTGTGTGTGTGTGTGTGTGTGTGTGTGTGTGTGTGTGCGGAAAAGCATCCGCTGCATAATAGATATGCTGGATAAGTTGGCGGTTCATTCCGCTGTGGCGACCCCAGATTAATAAAGGAACTAAGGTGAAAAGAAAATGAATGAATGATTTTCAATACACTGGACACATCAGTCAGATAAACAGAAAATTCTGGCTTTGTATTTCGGGCAGGTGATTATAACCACTCCGATGGAGATGCTGAAGATCCAGTTGCAGGATGCCGGCAGATTAGGTAAAAGACCACTGATGTGTTTCTAATCCACTGATCGTGTTTTGTTGAAGATATGAGGATATGTCTGGATACTACTGTACATACAGTGCTCAACATATAGGAGTACATTTTTCACAAATTTCTCATTTAGATTAATATATTTGTATAGGAAGCTTTACAATTTTATATTTGTGCACATAAGATTAGTCAGTACTGATGCCAAATCTGGACATAATCTTATAAAACAGTTTATGATAACGATCCAAAATCAGTAGAGCCAAATTTACCTGACAAAAGTCTTGTTGCCTATCAAAGTTTTAGGAACAACAAAGAATTACTTGACTTCTAGTTGGTCATTTGGTATCAGAAGTGGCCAGCCTGATCTCACGAGAAAACGTAAGTATTTTACGTTTTGGCAGTTAAGTGGCTAATTCGTACGAATTCGTACGAGTTCAGTCGTAAGAAAATGTACGATTTTAAAAAGGAGGCGTGGCACCTAACCCCACCCCTAAACCCAACCGTCATTGGGGGATACGCAAATCGTATAAAAATGTACAAATTAGATCGTACGAATTTGTACGAATTAGCCACTAAAGGCCTCTAGATTATGCTTATTTAAGCAAAATAAAATATGATCAGGCCTTGATTTTTACTATTTAATTAGGACAGCAAGGTCTGACTTTGCTTAGACAAAAGTCTTATCACTTAACAGAAATAATGTACAGTATAGAATATAAAGTCATGCTGCAGTGAACAAAGAATTCATATTGTGTCTGACTCTCATGAGCTTGGAGGACTGCATCCATACATCTCTGTAATGACTCAAATAACTGACTAATAAAGTCATCAGGAATGACAAGGAAAGGCTTCTTGCAGGAGTCCCAGAGCTCATCAAGATTATGTAGATTCATCTTCAATGCCTCCTCCTTCATCATACCCCAGACATGCTCAATAATGTTCATGTCTGGTGACTGGGCTGGCCAATCCTAGAGCACCTTGACCTTCTTTGCTGTCAGGAGCTTTGATGTGGAGGCTGAAGTATGAGGAGCGCTATCCGGCTGAAGAATTTGCCCTCTCCTGTGGTTTGTAATGTAATGGGCAGCACAAATGTGTTGATACCTCAGGCTGTTGATGTCGCCATCCACTCTGCAGATCTCTCGCACTCCACATACTGAATGTAACCCCAAACCATGACTTTTATTTAATCAAACTTGACTGATTTCTGTGAGAATCGAAGTTCCAATAGGTATTTCGCAGTATTTGAGATCATCCGGATGCAGTTTGACATCAGAAAAATCTATCTAACTTTCTATAAACTTTTCTAAATGATCAACTAGAAGTCAAGTTATTATTTGTTGCTCTTACAATTGGGATGAATGGCAAGGCATTTGTCAGGTAGTGTAGAAAATATTTAATTTAAATTGTACTTAAAAAAAAGAGCAAAATTCAAGAAAAAAACTTCATATATTTTCTTAAAATTTTGTAGTTTGTAATTTTTTTCAATATTTTGAATTAATTCAATTATATTATCTTTCTATTTCTCAAAATGTCCGGTGACTAAAATATTATATTAATAAATATTTCCATTTTAGAAATCTATATTGTTCAAATGCACCCAAATATATGATCTATATTAACATAGAAATGGATAAAAATATTCGTTTTCAAAATGGGATGTGAGCGACATGATGGCACAGTAGGTAGTGCTGTCGCCTCACAGGAAGAAGTTCATTGGTTCAAGTCCCGGCTGGGTCAGTTGGCATTTCTGTGTGGAGTTTGCATGTTCTTCCTGTGTTGGCATGGGTTTCCTCCGGGTGCTCCAGTTTCCCCCACAAATCCAAAGACATGTGCTATATTTGAAACGGGTAAGCTAAAATTGTGTGTAGTGTATGCTTGTGAATGAGCGTGTATGGGTTTCCCTGTGATAGGTTGCAGTTGGAAGGGCATCCGCTGTGTGAAGCATATGCTGGATAAGGTTCATTCCACTGTGGCAACCCTTGATTAATAAAGTAACTAAGCCGAAAAGAAAACGAAAGAATGAATGAAAATGGGACGTACTCATTTACTTTGAGCACTGTACAATGCTACTAATGCATACTAATTCTGCCCGTGCACAAAATACTTAAATGTTTTTTTGCACACTTGCACAGAATACCAGATATTTCTTGGCAGAATACACTTTAAGTTATGGTGCAACCCACAATGCAGTGCACTCAGTCTGACCTTGATCACAATATGAACCGTAGATAATAACAGGACATGTGCTGAATTAAACATGACATGCAGATGTATGACAGCAGTGCAGAATAGAACATCAGGCATTTACATGCTACAGATCGTATGTACAGTTAAAATCAAAATTATTACAAAATTATTTAATATTATTATATTAAATTATTATTATTTCTTCTGGAGAAAGTCTTATTTGTTTTATTTTGCCTAGAATAAAAACAGTTTTTAATTTTTAAAAAAATATTTTAAGGTCAACATTATTAGCTCCCCTTAAGTAGAATTTTTTCCTCATTATCTACAGAACAAACCATCGTCTATACCAGGGGTGGCCAACCGTGTTCCTGGAGAGCCACCTTCCTGCAGATTTCAGTTCCAACTCATATCAAACACACCTGAACCAATTAATTAGGACAGCACGTGATAATTACAGGCAGGTGTGTTTGATATGGGTTGCAACTGAAATCTGCAGGAAGGTGGCTTTCCAGGAACAGGGTTGGCCACCCCTGGTCTTTACAATGACTTGCTTAATTACCATAATTTGCTCAATTAATCTTTTTAAGCCTTTAAATGTCTCTTGAATACTAGTATACTAGTGCGCTAAATACTGGTATACAGAAAAATATATACAAAGATGCCCAAAACACGGCTCACAGGCCAAAGCTGGCCCATTGTAAACTTTGATTTAAAAGCACACCTAACACCAGCTGATAGAGAGGAGACAGAGTGATGAAGCCAGTTATGATATGGGCATGGTTAGGAGGCCATGATGAACAGAGGCCAGTGGGCAAATTTAGCCAGGATGCTGGGTGTCACGATCACCAGTGATCTAACTTTCCTTGATTCACATTTACACGGACTACAATCCTGTCTCAATATGAACTACAAGTCCTGTCATGCAACACACACACCTGCTCTAAGTCTCCATTGATTACACTCACACAGCTGATGCTGCTCAAGTACTGATTACACACACATATATACGGCTCACTTTGAGACACTCATTGCTCAGTCTTGTTATACTGTTTGTAAATACTAGGACTAGTGGTGGGCAAAGGAAAGCTTTATGAAACACTGTAAAAGTCTAAGCAAATGTGTCGAAGCTTCCAAATGTTTCAAAACCAGCCTTTACAGTGACACCTAGTGGTCATTTTTATGTATTGCTCTTGAACAACTTCAGCAAAGAAACAGTTAAAGGTTCACGAAACCCTCAAGTACTTTTTTTTTTTTTTTTTTTTAACAGATGTGTGTGTGTTGAGCATCAGTTAGGACAATGTTAGCACCTGTTAGCTTTAATTGTGGGGAAAACTGGATCATTTTGAGCTTTTGTCAGCTAATTTTAGCTTCCGGGTTTAAAATAATTTTAGGACATGATCAAAATTGGCGACGTAGCGCAGGACTGCAAGTGCAAAGCTGACGCGTCGGTTTCTCATTATTATTCATAGCGGAGTTTTCTTATCCTATGAGAAGAGCCGGCTTCTTAAATATTCATGAGAGCACATGCTTTCCGAAGACAAAGCAGACCTGGCTGCCAATGCCAAGCTCAGCTGTGAAATGCTACTCTGATGACTGGGTGAGATGCGTCCGCAGACTTACGGCACGCTGTATTTAGCCATTCATGAAGGGTCGTATGTGTTTGTTTCCATGATCCACGGGGTTTGTTGCATGTGTTTCCCCGCGATCCTGTCAGGGCCAATACAGCAAAATTGTGTATGCTGCAAGCATTTTTTGTCGGGAGAGGTATATGAGAATTGGAGAACGTTGGAGGACGTTGTCTTTTATCAGGAGTTCGATCACATTTAGACACATTGCCGTGCTGCTGTGTTCGCCTAAATCATCAAGATTACCAGCCAGCAGGGCTAATAGTTAAAATAGACAGGGCATAGACCTGCTGCACTGAGTCTCCATTCAGACCCGAGGATTGAGGGGAAAAGTCCTCATTTAGTGTTTATAAAATTAACACGATTATCTTTATAATGATATAAATTGTGGTTATCTGTATATAAAATTATGAATGTAGCAGGGCATTAAATTACTGTTTATTTCTTTGCATTTTAACTTTGTAAACTATAAAATCATGCGTCTCCTCATGGTTTGTGTCTCATTTTGTGAACCGACTGACAACACAACAGATGCTCTCTCCCCTCCTTCTCCCCTGCTCTGCTGGCCACACCCACTTCTGCCCTTTGCCCTTTGTCATGGCCCTTTAAGCTAATTGAGGTATTATACCTCATGTTGTAGAGTTGAGGCTTCAAGGGATTTAGTGAAGCTTTGAGAGTTCCAGACAAGCAAGCAGAGATGATGATGGGTTTGAATCCAGGGAGATGCAGCTATAGATTTATATGCTATAGAGTTTTTAAATGCTCTGTCCTTGTAACGAGTTTTGTTTTAACATTGGTCTGATATCCGAATGAACACTTTGCGAATAAATGTCTTGTTTTGATCATAAAAAGGTAACATTATTAAAATACAAGTCGCAATGTCATTTTGCTTAAGTCGAGATTCGAACTCGGGCCATCAGCAGTACAGTTAAGGGCATCACACAGCAGATGCGCCGCTCAGCGCCGCGACATGGCACACACATGAGAGTTTAAAGTACCGCACACCAGACGCGCACATTGGCTGTACTGACTTTTCTTCAGTGTTTTGACCACGTGTCTTGGTTTCGTTGGGAAAAGACTTTATTTTTTTATTATTTTTTGTCTCTTTTTCTTTTCCTTAAACAATTATTTGTATTGGTCATTTAAAGGTTGTATATTAACTGACGTTTTTCTCGAGTCTCATATGTTTTGCATATTAATGAAGCATTTTTGCAGGAGTAGATAAATGCTGGTCCAAAATTAAATTGAACTCTGCAGAATCTTCCTATCAGCAGAAAGATGTCAAAACTGAACAGAATATGTGCAGTTGGGAAAAGTCTTATGCTTTTATTGTTGTGCAGAACATTTGTAGAAAAAGAAGACTTCTGTCTGGAGTGCGGTCAATGGTGGACTGGAGAATGATTGACAAATGACAAATTCCACCCGTTAATATCAGCTGCCATATAAGCAGGGCTGGACTGGGGCAAAATATCGGGCCTGGCATTTTGGGCCAGAGCGGCCCACTACATTCAATCAAAATGCTATCTATGCACGTCCAGTATTTTAATCAACTCATATTTTATAAAACACAAAAGCCATATATATGAAATAAATAAATACAAACTTTAATCTCAATTTAATTTCTGTATACTGTCCATAAAGATATTTGTTGAGTTCTAAAAAATACACTATTCATTCATTTATTTTTCTTCGCATTAGTCCCTTATTTATCAGGGGTTGCCGCAGTGGAATGAACTGCCAACTATTCCTGCATGTTTTATGCAGCAGATGCCTTTTCAGCCCCAACCCAATATTGGAAATCACCCATACACATTCATTCACACACACTCATACACTACAGCCAATTTAGCTTATTCAACACACTATTCACTCTGCCTATATTCAATAATAAACATAACAAAAACTGCCTGGTGATGCATGGTTAAATCTTTAAAGGGAACAGTGTACTTTATAACTTCTTTCACCTCATCCTGCTTGCTGTTTCACCATCTAAACAATGAAAACATAATATAAGTCAAATTTGTGTCATTTTGATATTATGATTAACAGCTGCATATTTATATGAGCGTCATCTTCACTCTGCATATGTATAACAAAACAGGGCTTAAATATAACTGTCTCCTTTCATTTTCTTTGAAAAGAACAAACTTTACCCCGTCTCTTTTGCAGAATATCAGTTTTAATAATTAATAATGGCCATTATAACAGTATAACGTACAATAAATTTATATGATAAATGTAAGCAATCAGTCAATATGCAGAATCAGTGTATGTGGTTACATAAATTAATATATTAGCTTATCTATGCACTTAGCCAAAACAACAAAATGAATTCAATGTCACGTTTAACAACTATAGTGAGATGAGATCATCCAGCAGATGAACTGTCTGACATGCACTATACTCTCACCTGGGGTTTATGCTCACCCGCTGAACTACTGGCTGCAGCTCTTGGCAGAGTGTGTGTGGTCACGTGATTTGCGCTTTTAGCCGTGACTAGAATGAACTGAGAACTTTTCAGAACCACAAAATGAAACGCCGGTGTATTTCCCGCGATTTCTCTGCACCTCCCTTGCGTTACTCTCTGACTCTCGACTATTTTGACAAATAAACACAGACGACGCACGCTTATACAGAGCCCAAAATAGGAGTTTGTGATTGGGCCAGCCCAATGTCAATACAGAAAAGATCCAATGGGCTGCAGAGTGTCACATGGGCCGGCCCGGTCTGTCTGTCCGGGGAAAAAAAAGCATCTTACTTTCAGAGAGTCACAGATCACAGCAGCGTCAATTAATAAGGCAGAAAAAAAACAATAGGCTGCTAAGCCTTTTATGGGCCGATCAGATCATAAGACGATGATCAGCCCGGCCCAAAAAGTACGTCGGCCCACCGGGAAAGTGCCCGGTCTGCCAGATGGGCAGTCCGCCCCTGCATATAAGCTGAGGTCAGGGAATGAAAGTGGTTACGCACCTACTTAGTGTAACTTTTGCATTGCATTGAGGATAACAGAACTCTGTGAATCGAATTATTTATTTGTATCCAATAAATTGTTACGATTTTTGACATTGAAGTAAAAACTCTCCTGACCTTTTTTATTGAACACGCATGGAATTGATTCACTATTCCAACAGTTTCCTGTATACATCTGTTTGCCCCTGTGTTGACAGCATCCTACATCACATTACTCCGGGGTTAAACCTCGAAGAACATCCTGGGATTTTAAATGACCAAAGAGAGTCAGGACCTCAATATATTGTCTCACCCAAAAGATGGCGCTCAATGAGCAGTACAGAGTCCCCCATCAATAAACTGGGGCATTAGGACCCACATAGACTGCAGGTCTCACTAGCACCACTTCCGGCAGCAATCTTTTCCATGTGGTCTCCCATCCATATTCTGACCGGGCGCAGCCTTGCTTAGCTTCAGTGGATGACCATAAGAGAGTTGCACAGAGCTTGCTGTAATAAGTTCATAATAAAATGAAAAAAAAATTAATTAAATTAAAAAATACTGTATTAGTTAATAAAAAAAGCTATGCTTTCTAGTCATTTTTAAATGTTAATAAATTAAGAAATTACCCATGGCAACTAATTTTCCTCCAGCCCACTAGCCTCAATCAAGTTTGATTTTTGGCCCTTCAGAAAAAGTTTGAGCACCCCTGATGTGTCTGCATGTGTGCTATCAGCGAAAAACCGGAACAGGTGTGTGTGTGAGGTGCATGACAGGGTTTGTAGTCCAAATGAATGTGAATGATTTCCAGCGATCTACAAGCCAATCTACAAGAAATGTGCTGAAAACAAATGTTCTCTCTGTTAAACAGAACTTGGAGAACAAAATAAACAATATTTTAGTAATAGTAATAATTCAGGAGGGCTAATAAATCTGACTTCAACTGTATGTACTGCACAATTTCTCAACTTTATCTCTGACAGAGGCCCAGAGGAAGATGATTGGTCCGGATGCTGTAAGGGGCCGGGCCAAAGACCGCACTGTTCATTTGAAGTCTCCCTCAGCTCTCCAGCTCTCCAGAAATCTGCTGAAGCACAAAGGCATCGCTGGTCTCTATACGGGACTGGGGGCCACTCTATTACGGTACTCAAACTGTGGGATGCTTTCAGCCAGGGTAGGCTTTGTTTGCATTCTTTGTCTCTTATTGGTGTTTTCCCTCCCTCAGGGATGTGCCCTTTTCTATCATCTACTTCCCACTGTTTGCTAACCTGAATAGTCTGGGCAGAAGAAACGCTGATGGTTCGGCTCCGTTTTACATCTCTTTCCTGTCCGGCTGTTTTGCAGGCTGCGCCGCAGCGGTTGCGGTCAATCCTGTGGATGGTAAGATGGTCAATGTTTTGCATTTGACGAGATTGCCAGTAATGTTTAACATTTTGGGGGTCATTCATTCATTCATTTTTCTTAGGCTTAATCCCTTTATTAATCAGGGTTTGCCACAGTGGAATGAACCACCAACTTATCCAGCATATGTTTTACACAGCAGATGCCCTTCCCAGTTTCCCAGTGGTGGGTTGTGGCTGGAGGGGCATTCGCTTTGTAAAACATATGCTGGATAAGTTGGCGGTTCATTCCGCTGTGGCAACCCCAGATTAATAAAGGGTCTAAGCCTTAAAGAAAATTAATGAATGGATGAATGAACTTACTCATATAAAAGATTTAATATAATATGGGACATTTTGTGAAAGCAGACTAATTGTATGACTGCTTGTGTGTATGTGTGTGTGTGCTGCAGTGATAAAGACCAGGCTTCAGTCTTTGTCCCGAGGACATCATGAGGACACTTACAGTGGAGTCAGAGACTGTATCAGGTAAACTGACACACACACACACACACACACACACACACACACACACACACACACACACACACACACACACACACACACACACACACACTTTACTCTTTAGTTTCTTATGTACATGTACTGACCATCTCTCTTTATCTTTCCGATAGTAAGATTCTCCGTCACGAGGGTCCGTCTGCTTTCTTAAAGGGGTCTTACTGTCGTGCACTGGTCATCGCGCCGCTGTTTGGCATCGTACAGGTGGTTTATTTCCTCGGAGTTGGTGAATTTGTTCTCAGCCTCCTGCACGGACAAATACACTGAATCTTTACTATGGATGGAGGTGCTGATCTTAGAACAGCTACTTGTATATGAAAGGATAGTTCACCCTAAAATGAAAATTTACTCATTATTTACTAACCCTCACGAAGTTCCAAAGTTTCTTTCTTCTGCTGAAAAAAAAGAAAGAAGATATTTAGAAGAATGCTGAATATCTGTAACTATTAACTCCCTTAGACGGAAAAACAAATGGAAGTGAGTGGTTTCCAAATATTTGTTTTGAACAAGTGGAGGGTGAGTAAATTATGACAGAAGAACTATAAAATGAAATAAAAAAAACTAAATAAACATGAATATAAACAGAACTATCCCTTTAAAATGCAGCAGTAATAACCAAATGTAAAAAAAAAACATTGAAAAGAACTACATTGAAAATCAAGTTCTATAGTCGGCACAATCGACTGAGGGATAGTTCACTCAAAAAGTAATTTTGGCCACATTACAGAACAGCATTCAGTCTTTGCACAGAATGCAAACCTGTAATGCATTATAATGTGTGGATTAAAAAAGTCCAGAGACCAGTCCAGTGTCCAGAAAGTATTCATAGTGCTTTACTTTTTACACATTTGTTTGTTATAGCCTTATTCCAAAATAGATTTTTAACCTTCTTGTTAGAGCAACTGACTCCCATGCGGAAGGTCGCCTGTTCGATACCAGCTCGGAGCGGGTTGTGTAGCGTAGCACCGGTGGGGTTACATTGGTGCCGTGACCAGGATGGGAGTGAGGTTTAGGGGGGTGAGTGTAACGGAGGCCAGCTAGTAAGTGCTGTGCAGGTAAAGCCAACTCCTCTGACCTCTAAAGGAGCTCTGGTGACAGATGCTAAAGGCTGTGGTCTTCAGCCTCCTTGGTAGAGCAACCGCCTCCCATGTGAAAGGTTGCCAGTTCGATACCAGCTCGCAGCGGGTTGGAAGGCACAGTACTGGTGGGGTTACAGATTAAAATAATTTATTTCCTCAAAATTCTACACACAACACCCCATAATGGCAATGTGAAAAAAGAGTTTTCGAAATTGTTGCAAATTTATAAAAAATAAAAACCCTGAAAAATCACAAGTACAGAAGTATTCACAGCCGTGAAGCTCTAAATTAAGCTCTGTTTCCACTGATCATTCTTGAGATGTTTCAAAAGCTTAACTGGAGTTCACCTGTGGTAAATTCTGTTGATTGGACATGATTTGAAAAGGCATACATCTGTCTATATAAAGTCACAGGGTTGAGAGTGCATGTCAAAGCACAAACCAAGCATGAAGACAATAGAATTGTCTTTAGGCTTAAGGCTGAGAAAGGTTACAGAAAAATGTCTGCTGTTCTGAAAGTTCCAATGAGCACAGTGGCCTCCATCATCAGTAAGTGGAAGATGTTTGAGACCACCAGGACTCTTCCTAGAGCTTGCTTTTGACCTCAGACTGGGACAGAAGTTCATCTTTCATCAGGACAAAGATCCAAACCACACCACCAAAATATCAATGTAGTGGCTTCACAACAACTTAGTGAATGTTCTTGAGTGGCCCAGCCAAAGCCCAGATCTAAATCCTATTAAACATCTCTGTGTAGATCTGAAAATGGCTGCACACCATCGCTTCCCATCCAACCTGATAGAGCTTGAGAGGTACTACAAAGAGGAATGGGCAAAAATTCCCAAAGACAGGTGTGCCAAGCTTGTGGCATCATATTCAAAAAGACTTGAGGCTGTAATTGCTGCCAAAGGTGCATCAACAAAGTATTGAGCAAAGGCTGTGAATACTTCTGTACATGTGATTTTTCAGGTTTTTATCTTGAATAAATTTGCAACAATTTCAAAAAATCTTTTTTTCACATTGTCATTATGGGGTATTGTGTGTAGAATTTTGAGAAAATAAATTTATTTAATCCATTTTGGAATAAGGCTGTAACATAAACAAATGTAGAAAAAGTGAAACGCTATGAATACTCTCCTGATGCACTATATATACGTGTGTGTGTGTGTGTGTGTGTGTGTGTGTGTGTGTGTGTGTGTTAGTGTGTGTGTGTGTGTGTTAGTGTGTGTATATATATGCAAAACACATCAATTTTAAAATGTAATAGTTATTTTTAGATTAAAAATGGACTGCCAAACTTAATAACTAATGCTTCATATTAAAGCTAAAAGAGTAGCTAATAGCTGATAGTTGCTGATAAATTTCACAGATATGTTCTTCATGACAAGTTATTTTGTATCAAAACCACAATAGTATCATTTCAAACAAGTTGTTAAATAAATTAAGCACTATATTAAATTCATGCAATGGTCATTCATAGCATAGAACAGCTTTTTTGTGTGTGTGAAAATGAATGCTTTAATTAATTTCTATTGACCAAACGTGATAGTACCATTTGTATTATTATTAAATTATATAATATAGAAAATATATTTAAAAAGTCATTTAAATATATTTTAGTCAGTCTATAGATCAAATAAATACAACATTACTGAGCAAAAGAGTACAAAAAAGTAAAACTTTTAATAATTTCTCACATTTTTTAAAATGTTCACAATAAGTCATGAATAAATTAAGCACCTTAATTCATGATCAAATGTTTTGTGAAATGAGGGAGAATGGCTTTTTGTAGTATAACATCTATGATTAAAAGGCGATTTGCTTTAAAGCAGGTTTTCATGATTAAAATCAAGCACAGCCTGTTTCCTCCGCGCAGCTTTTTAATGATTTGTTTACCATGATCTTATCAGAACCAAAAGAGACAAATAGCTTTTCTTTGAGCTCGTTTCAGTGCATAATGGTAAATTATAGCACATCTGAGGTTATGTTCAAAACATGTTTTTAATGCCGTTATGTTACAGGAGCTTGCATCTTAGGGTTAGAGGTTTGAAGTAAACCACAATCTCTAAGGAATCTGGATGTAGTTCTGCCATGCAAGCACTGTGGGTGAATACCAAAACAAAATATAATTTTTAGTGAGCAGCAAATCAGCATATAAGAGAAATCTGCATACTTATGTAATGATACTGAAAATTCAGCTTTGTATCACAGGAATAAATAACACTAAAAATGTTCAGTTAGATTTTTTTATATAATATTGAATATTTCACAATATTACTTTTTTACTGTGCTTATTTGAATAAATTAATTCAGCCTTCAGTGGGCAGAAGAAGCTTCTATAAAAAAATGGCAAACATCATTTAAAAGATGAAAAACTGAAGTTTCTTATTTTCGATCACAGATTACATGTCCAGAATGAGTCACTAATAAATGAATAAAGCACTTTAATTCAGGCTTGAATGTTTTGTCAAATGAGTGGGAATAATTTGTTGTGATGCAACATTTGTGATTACAATGTGATTTACTTCAAATATTCTATTTTTTAAAAAAAATAGTTTGACCTGAAATCCTCAGTGCAGATTTTTACTGATTTTTGTATTGTACAATCACATGGCAGTAACTCAATGCATTTAGGCATATAGACATGGTCAAGACAATCTGCTGCAGTTTAAAGTGAGCATCAGAATGGGGAAGAAAGGCGATTTAAGTGACTTTGAAAATGGCATGGTTGTTGGTGCCAGACAAGCTGGTCTGAGTATCACACACAACCATCTCTAGGGTTTACAAAGAATGGTCTGAAAAAGAGAAAATATCCAGTGAGCGGCAGTTCTGATGAGGTCAGAGGGGAATGCCTACCTGAGTATTGTTGCTGACCATGTCCATCCCTTTATGACCACAGTGTACACATCTTCTGATGGCTACTTCCAGCTGGATAACGCTCCAGGTCATAAAGTTCAAATCATCTCAGACTGGTTTATTGAACATGACAATAAATTCACTATACCCAAATGGCCTCCACAGTCACCAGAGCTCAATCCAACAGAGCACCTTTGGGATGTGGTGGAAGGGGAGATTCGCATCATGGAGGTGCAGCCGACAAATCTGCAGCAACTGTGTGATGCTATCATGTCCATATGGACCAAAATCTCTGAGGAATATTTCCAGTACCTTGTTGAATCTATGCCACGAAGGATTAAGGCAGTTCTGAAGGCAAAATGGGTCTAACCTGGTACTAGTAAGGTGTACCTAATAAAGTGGCCGGTGAGTATATATCTATTTTAATAATTTTAAAATTGGTCATCATAGTTTTAATGCCTGTATCTTGAATCTTATGCTGGGTGCACACCAAATGTGAAGGGAAAACGTGCATCACGTCACTTGCTCTAGTTTACTCACAGGATGTTTTGGCCTCGAGTGAATTTTCCACTCGTGTGGGTCATTTATAAACTAATTTCCAGAGGATCACGTGCCTATGATTGAACACAGCTGCCACAGCATATTTGCACCAATTAGATGATTTCTGACACATTATAAATCACCAGAGCTTTCTACTCAAGTCATCTTCGTCTTCGTTCGCATGAGTTTGCATGTTCTCCCTATGTTTGCGTGGGTTTTCCCCAGGTTCTCCGGTTTCCTCCCACAGTCCAAAGACATACACCATAAGTAAATTGACTACTTCAAAACAGTATCCTAAGGCAACTCTAAGACAGATACAGTATATCTCAACAGTTCACAAGTAGGGGAGTTCTCGAGACCTACCTGAGGTCAAACTCTCCTCTCACCCCTCAAACAGGAGGAAGCCCTGGGCTCAAGGATATTCTGAGCTCAGCACTTCTTCCCAGGACAGCATGCCAAATACGCTTTATTATCAATCATCAGTTAAGTGTGAACTCTTGAGAAGATGACTATCTTAAAATTTAACCTGATTCAGTTCTTTTTTTTTTAACAGATGAATATTTTAGAAGCAGTGTATGAATTAGACTGACACTATGTGAGGATCCTATCAGTCCTTTAGGGGGCGGGCTACTGGTCCTTCAGGAGGGTGGGGCTCTCAGTCCTTTAGGAGGTGGAGCTGTCAGATCTTTAGGGGATGGGCTACTGGTCCTTAAGGAGGGTGGGGCTATCAGTCCTTTAGGAGGGGGAGCTGTCAGTTCTTTAGGGGATGGGCTACTGGTCCTTAAGGAGGGTGGGGCTATCAGTCCTTTAGGAGGTGGAGCTGTCAGTTCTTTAGGGGTGGAGCTATCAGTTCTTTAGGGTATGGGCTATTGGTCCTAAAGGAGGGTGGGGCTATCAGTCCTTTAGGAGGTAGAGCTGTCAGTCCTTTAGGGGTGGAGCTATCAGTTCTTTAGGGTATGGGCTGTTGGTCCTTTAGGGGGGGGGGCTATCGATTCTTTAGGGGGTAGACCATTGGTTGTTTAGGAGGTGGGATATCAGTCTTTTAGGGGGCGGGCTATTGGTCCTTAAGGAGGGTGGGGATATCGGTCCTTTAGGGGGTGGACTATTGGTCCTTAAGGAGGGTGGGACTATCGGCCCTTTAGGAGTGGAGCTATCAGCCCTTTAGGGGATGGGCTATCAGTCCTTTAGAGGATGGACTATTGGTCCTTTAAGGGGTGGAGTTATCAAGTCCTTTAGGGTGGGGCTATCATTCCTGTAGGGGTGGAGCTATCAGTCCTTTAGCAGGGTTGGATATTGGTCTTTAAAGAGGGTGGGGCTTTCAGTCTTTTA